GACCCCCGAACCGTCGGGCGTGACCGCGTTACGTCACGCCCCGCCCGAACGGCTTGTTCAACTGGCCCAGCCTATGCCTTGCCCTATGTCTTGGGCACCAACTCTACTAGACAGCGATCTTTGGCTATGGACTCGTTCCCTTCAGCAGGGGTAGGAAACTCTAGACGACTACTCGTATCCTGTGACACCGCTGTCACACAACGTGGCAGCGGGGCGTCTCGAGTCGCCCCGAGCTGTCCCTACCCTGCTCTCTATTGCAGCAGTGGCACCATCTACGCTGCCTGGTTGCCAACCACCCAGCTATGGGGGTTGAACCATCTTTCCCACACTTGTCAGGCTGACAGGAGACCGTCACGTGGGCCCGGGCCGGCCCTGTTCCTGACAGAATGCTAAACCTCCTTTACTGTCCTTCTTTCAAGTGTGGGGCGCTCTCTAGAAAGCTCAAGTTCTTGGAGCAATCCTTTCTGTGCTGAACGACCACTCGATGTGTCGGCACTTCGTCCAATGGGTTGAGGAGTTATCCCTTTCATCTTGAAACTCCTGGGAGCCAACAACTTTTGCTCCATTCGTCTTATGGGTTGAGGAGTCTGTCCCCTTCGCGTTAAAACTCCTGGGACCAGGTCAAAACCTGCTCCACTTGTTCACTCCGGTTAAGGAGTTCTTCAACACCTTCTGCACCTAATGACGTGATGAACCGACCTGATTCGAACCTTCGACCACCGACTACGGCAAGGGACCGAGTTCACGGGCCCTTTCGGTTTCGATCTACCCCGCTCGCCATACTCGCGGGCCCGACAATCCGTCTGTTTTGTTCTTGGTGTGCGTTCTTAGAAGACCTTGCGCGGCCTGACTCGAAGTCTGGCCTGTCAATCTACGGGCCCGATGACCCGTTGGTCCGAACACAAACCTTTGTTTCTTTCGCCCCTACTCGGCAAATTCTTTCCCTATACCCTCTTCTTTCAATTCGTACCCTGGCGCCGAGGTAAGGAATATCGGCTCCCCCAGATGTCGACTTCTGGGCTGCAACTTCTTTCTGCCATGGGGCGTCCACTCCGGTGAACGGCGCTTGAGGCACGGGAAACGTTGAGTCCGTCCCCACCTCTATAGCAGCCAAGGAGAGTGGAAAACCACTCTGGGAGCGCTGGGGGAAGAAGCAGACCCAGGCTCTTTTCACTAGCAAGAGACCCGTCCCGTGCGCCCGAACGTCACCCCTTTCCCAACCGTGGGAAATTTCGTTCAAAGGTGCTGGCCTTCAACCAGACAAACCCAAAACCGTGTGAATTGATGTTCAAACCCTCATACGACTAAGATGATGGGATCGATGACCTGAATTGGCCCGATTCGGCCCACATCGGCCCGATCGGCCTGACGGGCCCCGACGAACTGATGGGCCAAATCTGCATATACGAAAAAACAACGATGACCCCTGGACGGGTGGCTGCACACTGGCAGCAAAAAACCGGGGACAATAACACCCCAAAATTGGAGGCTGGACAGAGGGATGGCTAGGTGTCGTCATAGCGACCCCATCGCCTCTGGGCTTCGACTGGCAACGAGATTGAACATTGCATATGCGCGGACGCACTGGACCGGACCGGGCTGAAACTACGCAAACAGGAGAAGCTACGAAAGGTCTAAAAACGCGCAGCCAATGCTCAGCATGTAATTGGAAGCCAGTGTTCGGAAAATGTGAACAACCAAACACCCCGAGAAACCGGGGCGACCAAGCCACGCCGACTCGAGATGAGTCGTTCCAAGGGAGGGGGCGATGTCACGGATAAGACCCGGCCCGTCCGCTCCGGCGCTGGTGTCGGGCCATCGCGGGCCCGTAGCACGCAGCACGTGATGACAGGGAACATGCGCCCCAGTGGGAGGAACGCACACGTGGGAAGCACGTGACCGAGAACGACAGCGTCGAGCCGTCGCCGAGCCCAACTTCGACACAAGGCGATAGGGGAGGAGTGCTAGGAGGTTAGGAGTAGCGCCTGGCCCGCAAGGGATGTCCGATCGTCCCCTCTGCGGCTAGGAACGGGAGAAATGGGGGAGACTCAGAAGCGTCTGGATGTCCGATCATCCCTTGCAAAGGCGCACCTGGGGCAACAGGCGATGGGGAGGAGTGCTGGGAGGTTAGGCGCAGCGCCTGGACCGGATGGGGTGTACGACCACCTCCGCTCGGCCAGGAACGGGAACGGGGAGACCCAGGAGAGCGTCAGGATGTCTGATCATCCTTTGGGAGGACGCGACTGGGGCCTGGACGCGAGAGAGGAATCGACTAAGCCCTTCGACGAGAAGGCATCTACATGCGAATGACGAAATTTTTTTCTCAACAAATCGGAATTGAATACGGAAATCGGACGATAAAACTCGGGACGAGTTTCGCCTAGTGGGGGGGTGATGTCAGGGTTCGGGTCGGGCCAACGGGCCCTATACGGCCCATCGGGCCCTCACCACCCTTAGAGCCCTAGGGCTTGACAAGCCCTCATAATTCACAAGCTCAAAGCAATGAGCAACAACACTAATATCCCAGAGAAGGGACATAATCACGGATCGCGCTTTAGTCAGCCATCAAGCCATCATGACCCGCCATCAGGGATCATGATGCGCCGCCGGACGCCCTTGACAGCGGGCCCAATCGGCCCTAGACAACCACAGGGTCCAGGAGGGAGCTCCTTACTGTTGCATTGCCAAACACTCCTTAGTGTCGACTTTGGCATGGCTCCTTTCCAGAGGAATGGTCCCTGGGCTCCTAGCGGAGCGACCAGGGACGACCAGAGACATCCCCTGCTCCCTTCTGATCGACCCTCAGCGGGCCCGATCGGCCCCTAGCGCCCACAGTATATAAAGACTAGAGTATTACTCCTGTACCTTAGGTTTAGCATTGAAGTCTCTTCCTTTGAACCCTACTCCGGCCTGGTCCCCTAGAGCGGGGTTGCTGCAACCATACCCCGGGAAAGGGGCGTCTAGACGACTTCCCACACCCAGGCTAGCTTGCCTCATTGACCTGAGCCCTTGGTTGGGCTGGACAGCTCAGGCTCTTGTCTCTTATGTTCATCCTTGTCCTAGCCACTTCTTCCTGCTCTCTGGCCTCAAGCTCTGGGTTCCCCTGGTACGGGGCGATGGGAGGGTGCGGGCCCGATCGGGCCCGCATGTCACGCGTCACACCGCGCCGTCACGCGGTGTCTAGGAGCCACAGCGACTCGTTACTCCAGGAAAGGAGATATGTCGCCCCTTGGACTGGCAACCCTTCTCAAGCGCTCCAGGGGTCTCGGGCCCGCAGCCCCTGTTGCGGGGCGACTCCCCTCGACCCCCCGAACCGTCGGGCGTGACCGCGTTACGTCACGCCCCGCCCGAACGGCTTGTTCAACTGGCCCAGCCTATGCCTTGCCCTATGTCTTGGGCACCAACTCTACTAGACAGCGATCTTTGGCTATGGACTCGTTCCCTTCAGCAGGGGTAGGAAACTCTAGACGACTACTCGTATCCTGTGACACCGCTGTCACACAACGTGGCAGCGGGGCGTCTCGAGTCGCCCCGAGCTGTCCCTACCCTGCTCTCTATTGCAGCAGTGGCACCATCTACGCTGCCTGGTTGCCAACCACCCAGCTATGGGGGTTGAACCATCTTTCCCACACTTGTCAGGCTGACAGGAGACCGTCACGTGGGCCCGGGCCGGCCCTGTTCCTGACATTCCCCTGGGTAAGGCCTACTGCCGTTAAGGCTCGTGCCTACTGCAGCACCCCAGGCTGCACGCCCTCACACCTCCACCTCTCTGGAGATGTCCGGGGACGTCTCCGAGTGACCCCCTGTCGCTACCCTCCAGTGGTCATGGCTGGCCGCCATTCCCATTGGTCCTCTTCGACACTCCCCGGCCCTTGGGCTAGACCAGACTCCTTCCCTTTCCGCTCCACGCCTTCCCTCTCCGTTTCCGGCCGTCACGTCACGGTCACACACCCGGAGTCGATTCCGATTCCGATTCCGACTCCGGTTGTCACGTCACGGTCACAAGCGGAGACGCCCAGAGGCAGCCTGGACCTCCCGAAGCCCTTCTTGGGCCTTCTAGGGATGCCTGGGCCCCTCCCTTGGCATCACGGTCCCAAACCTGCCTCTCCGGAGCTTCGAGGGCTACTCGACACTCACCTAGGGTCCATTAGCGACACCTGACTTCTCCAACCCGTCACCCGTCGCTACGCAGTCACTCTATCATTACTCCGGTCACTAGTATATAGTAGTGCACCTGGGCAGAGGGCTCCTTGGCTTGTTCTCTAAGGATTCCCCCTCTGCTCAGGTGAGTCTGTAGCGTCCCTTCCTGTTGTAGTAGTTCACTAAGGATTCCCCCTCTGCTCAGGACTCTGATTTCGAGCCTCGCGAGGTTGCCCTTACACCGGCTGGTATTGACCCATCAGTGCTTTTGTGGTGTAGGATTGCTTGCTGTGCTTGAATTACCCCCCAATTTGTCATATATCAGGCTGATTTGTCATATATAATGGCAATTTGTCATTTATTTTCATATATCAGGTACACTCACACCAGGGTTTCTGCCAAAAAATAAGCCCTGAAGTAGGATTTATTTCGGATAAATAGTGGACAAACAAGATTTATATTTTGATAACTTGGAAAGATAACAAATAAAACTCCAGCAAAGTAGACTTGATTTGTAACAAGTTGGGGTATATATTAAGTCATCAGATTAGACTTAATTCAAAGTCAATATCAGTTAATAATTCTGTGGCTACAATTTGTGACCAATGAATGGACCAAATATCCCACAAGCCAGGAGACACTGTAAACAAAAACATCAGGGGCAGCACCAAAGTGTACCCAATATATCAGAAATAAATGACAAATTGCCATTATATATAACATATTACCTTGATATATGACAAATTAGGGTAATAATGATGTGGCATTTTTTTGACAAATATTTGGGCTTGAATGAGGTGCACTTATTATCTTCAAAACATGGTTAGGAAGAGGGTAGTCACAATATATGGCCAGAACCATTATGCATGTGTTGAATTTGCCTCTGCTGCGGCCCGGGCAACCTCCTCCTCTGCGCAGGCCCAATAGTCCCGTCCGCCCCAGGCACCGGTCTCCCAGTCCTCGTCAAGGTCGACCCGAGTCAAGGCCGCCGCGCGTGGATCATCCATGGCCACGATCACCGCCCTCTGCCGTTCATACGTCGCCGCGTCAGCCTCCAGGCCGCCCGCGTCCGCGGCCGCGTCTGCGTCTGGCACGTGCACATACACACACACCGCGAGGCGCAGCAGCGTCCCCAGCGCGTCGCGCATGACGTCCGGGAGGTACTGGTCCATGAAGGACAGGTGTGTGAGCGCAGGGCAGGCCGCTGCGATCAGGGGCGGCGTCCATGGCCCGGCGTGGCCGGCCGGCCCGAGCAGCTCCAGGTGCGTCAGGTGTGTGAGCGGGGGAAAGTCCGGCACGAAGTTCACGCCGGCGCCGGTCTCCGGGAAGACATTATACGGGCTTAAGGACAGCCGCCGCAGATGGGCCAGCGGCTGCAGCGCGCGCATGTCGGAGGCGAAGGGCGGCTCGCCCCACAGCCCCAGGTCGACGAGGTTCGGGAATGTCCGGGCCAGGCGGGATGCGATGCGCGGCACCCGCAGAGTGGTCGCAAAGTGTGTTGTGTGTGCAGCACTCGCGGGGAGGGTTTCTACATGTCGCCACAGCGCCTCGAGGTCTCTGCTGCTCGGTATCCGATACATCCGATACCGCAGCGGCCCAATCCTGCATTTGTTCAGCGTTTGTTTCGCGCAGTTGACGAGAACAGGATAGCTACCAGACGTTGACCCGCCGCGCGACGAGCGGCAGTGTGCATATCATACGCTGGTCCGCCCACGCCGCGAGCTCAAACACAGCTCTCTCGAGTTCCCGCGGCAACGTCGGCTCTGTCATCGTCTTCAGGGGAAAAGAGGATGTTGATTCGCTTATGTTATCACAGGTCACACAGTACCATCAACCACGTGCACTTGTACGTCACTTTACGCATGTCTACCACCGACCCAGTTCTGCCGCCGGAACTCGAGCGTATCGTATTCGAGCTTGCGGCATGGGGAGACATGAACACGATATGCACGTTGACGCTCGTTGCACAGCGTGTGAACACCTGGTATTTGTCTCTTTGTCATCATGCATCAGGAAACACGAAATCCACTATGTGGTTATCAGCCTTGGCTATGAAGCCTGTCATAGCAGTTATAGCGCTATGATGCCTTCTATATGATCCCCCATAGCACACCATAGCACTATAGACACTCTTGCTTGTAATATGTGTGTATATGGAGTTTGGGCTACTAACTATGACATGTCCCGGGCCCATAAACAATCAAAAATGAATATGATTTGCACCACGAGCTAGTGTTGCATCCAGCTGTGCTTGCCTATGCTTATGGTACTGAGATACAAGGTACATATGGTATCGGAAGAAGTAGAAATCACGGTACCGGCGCAGATAAGGGTTGAAATAGAAAGCCGTGGCTTGTGACAGGATATCGTTGCAATTCCAGTCTGAGCTGGTGCTAGATGGAAACTTTGGGAGGAGATGGCAGGTCTGTGCAATGTCAGCCAATGATATAATAGAGGAGCGCCGCTGTCCCGCGGTTGTTGAATGAGTGATTCGGGAAAGACCAGAAGGGGACTCGAAGTCCTTGAGCGTGTTGCGGAAAGGCGTGAACCAATGAACATATACAAGTGGCTCCTGATAGCTCGAGAGACTGCGGGGTAGTCGGAAGATAGTTTTGACCTGTGCAACTTGAAGACCTGTGACCGGTGTAGATAATAGTACTCAGTCGGGCACGAAAAGGACGACTGAGGTAGCTCCTGTATGTAGGTAGGTATAAGTACTCGATCACGAATGATACGGTAGTAAGGGGTGAGGGAATAACGGTGTCGATACGCGCTCACAAAGGGGCGCGTCGGCTATATGGCCAGCCGAGCCTTGTTTCAACACTCCCCCTGGCGCGGACGGTCCATATGTAAGTAAATCAAGATAGAATCGAGGAAAGGAAACGAGGGGAAACGGAAACTCCCCCTCGTGTATACGTACGGGCATCTTCGCCCCGCTCCACACATCCTCCGCTCGCACCCACACCCACTACTCCGTCAGCCCCATTGCCCGGACATGCTCGCGATGCAGATCCCGCGGGAGTATCTTTGTGAAGATGTCGGCTATGTTGTTCCCCGACGGAACATGCTCGATCTCGATGTCTCCCGTGTCGACGCGCTCTCGAATGTAATGTTCGCGTACATCAATGTGCTTGACACGCGCGTGGCCCCTGGTATCTCGCGCGAGTGCCGCCCGCTCCCATGTTGTCAGTCCGAATCAGGGCTGGTCGATCTTGCGGCATATTTAGCTCGTCCAGAAAGCTATAGAGCCACATGGCCTGTTTCGCTCCACGCGACAGCGCCACGTACTCCGCCTCGGTCGTAGAGGTAGCAACCGTGGCTTGCTTCTTCGAAGACCAAGAGATCGGGCCCCCCGACATCATGAAAATTTCGCCTGACGTCGAGCGCCTTGTGTCCACATCGGAAGCGTAGTCGGCATCCACCCAGCCGGTAGGTCGAATTCCCGCTTCGGTTCCGCGGTGGTATGTAAGATGGTAGTCGAGCGTACCCTTGAGATAAGCGAGTAAGTGCTGAACGGCCTTCCAGTGTGCAGGTCCGGGCTTCTGCACGAAAGCAGCAAGTCGATTGACAGCAAAGGCGATATCGGGTCGGGTAGTGTTAGCTGCGTGGAGTATGGAGCCCACAGCTTCGCGATAGGGTTTGTCCTGCATGAATTTGACTTCTGCCTCTGTCGTTGCGGCCTGGGATTTGCTGAGAATCAGCCCGAGTGGAAGCGGTGTGGCCTTGGGGTTGCAGTCTAGCATGCCATAACGAGTTAGCACACGTTCGAGATAGGGACGTGAAGAAACCGTGATGATTCCTTTCGACTCGTCATAGGACACGCTCATCCCCAGTGAGGATGTCGTTCGGGGGACCTCGGTTACCTCGTACGCTGACTTGATGCCTTCCATTGCCTCCTCCGCAGCCCGCGCTCGACGATGAGATGCCGTCCATATCGTCTGTGTAGACACCCATGATTGAAGTGCCTGTCTCGGTTTGACGAATGCGTACTGCAGGGTCTGCGCGCGACCGAACCCAGTGGAGGGCGCTGAGAGTGCTGTTAAGCTCATGTGCCCAGTTGCGGCCCGACTGCATCATGCCATACAGTGACCGCAACATCAAGCACACTTTGCTCTCCTGCCCCGGGACGACGAATCCCTCGGGTTGGCGCATGTAAACGGTTTCAGTCATCTCCGCATTGAGATATGCGCTGACGACATCCATCGCCCACATCACCCAGTCAGGCTCGTTGGACGCATATCGCCCAGAGGATTCTCAGAGACTCGTAGCGGACAACGCCAGCATACGTTTCAAAGAAATCCACCCCGGCAATCTGCTGGAACCCTTTTGCGACCAGGCGGGCTTTCCATTTGATTATCGTACCATCGGCGTCGTATTTTGACGGCGTAAACCCACTTGCTGTCGATCACGTTTGCGCCAGCAGGTAGATCCACGAGAACCCACACTTCGCGACCGATTAAGGACGCGTACTCCTTCTCCATTGGGGCCATCCAAACCTCAGGATGCAGCATTGCCTCCCAATAGCTCGTAGGCACAGCCAGAGTCGAAATGTTGAAGGCCGCCGCGGCCCGCGTCCGTCTTGGTCGTTTGCGTGCATTCGTCCAGTCCTCACCCACAGCTCGTGCTGCAGCTTCATGGGACTGGTATTCGAGCGATTCGGACATCTTCTGGGTCGGTTTGCGGAGACGTGTCATCGGAGCAGCGGAAGCGAGAGGCAAGTCAGGATCGTCGCCAGGAGTACTTGGTTTTTCGAGATCTACACCCGCGGCACCAAACTGGTTAGCGACATCCACATCAGAGCCAAGAGAAACGTGCGGTTCATCCAGTTCCCCCTCGTCTCCCGTGTCGCCAGCCAACTCCACACCTCCCCCTGCTGAGGCACGGGACCAATGTCCAGCACCTTCGTCGAAGACTACATCGCGGGCAGAGAAGAGGCGTCGCCTCGAGGCATCCCACATCTGGTAGCCGGCTGTTCCGTTATATCCGACCATCACCGTTTTGACAGATCGGGGATTCAGTTTCCCGCCGGTGTCGGTGATAGGCACTATCTTCGCATAGGCCACTGACCCAAAGACTCGCAGGTGAGCAATATCCGGCTTATTCCCATGGTATACTTCCCAGGGAGTTTTACCACCAGCACGACGTTTCGGATGGAACCATTGCACGTAGACAGCCGTCTCGACCGCCTTGGGCCACAAGGATTTGGGCAGTCCTGAGTCAGCGAGTAACGAGCGGGCAAAGGATATTGAGGTGCGTATTCCACGCTCAGCGACACCATTCTGAGCTGATGAATGCGGAGTAGTCACCTCCAGTATGATCCCCTCAGATGCGAGATACGAGTCCCACATCTCGTTAATCCACTCGCGCCCCCCATCGACCCGCACCTTTCGGACTTTCTTCCTGGTCTGCGTTTCAATTTCCGCCTTTACTCGCTTAAACGCATCCAGTGACGAAGTCGCTGTCTTGTCTTTCAGGAAGAACGCCCAAGGCCCACCACAAAATCCATCGACGGCATGGAACACCCATCGAACTCCACCCAGCCCAACGAGCTGTGCCGGTCCCCACAAGTCAATATACACACGCTCGCCGATTTCCTTCTCTGGCTCGTGTACGCCATCAAAGGGGTCTGCGTGCTTGTTTACCCGCCAAGCAGTCTTCACATAAGCCGTGAGTATCTCCCTCGAGTATACTCAGGCCGCTGACATGCTTGTCCGACAGTAGCGTGGTCATCCCGCTTTCGCCGATGTGAGCGAGACGTCGGTGCCACGTCTCTCTGCTTGCTGGTGAAGCCCTAGAGCTCGCCACCGCGGCAGTCACACCGGCATGGTCAAAATCCAAGCGGTACATGCCCCCGACCAATTTCCCCTCCATGAACGGTTCGCCACTGGGGGTTTTGAAGGTCGCGCGACCCTTGCGGAACTTCGACACCAAACTCTTTCTCATCCAGGCGCGATATGGAGATAAGATTGTAAACGATGTCGGGGGTATGGAGGGCATGGAGGAGTATCTCCTTCTTGCGTCCATTAAACTGGTAGGTCTTTCGCACTGTGCCGCTCCCAAGAATCTTGAACTTTGACCCTTCAGCCGCATTCCCCTCGCTCTCCATTGCCTGGTAATCAACGAAGTCTTCTCGGCGCCAGAAGCAATGGTCTGTGGCCGCAGAATCAGCGACCACGACATACGGCTTTTTGCGTTTCGATGGCTAGGACATTTACATTTTGCGCCACCAGCCTGTTCGCTCGGTATTGCGTGTACCATGCCGCGATGTCGAACTCTTGCTTTGGCGAGACGATCAGCTCCGAGGGAAATGTAACGTCCTCGTCGAGGAGATTGTCCATCAGTACATGCTCGTGGTCGGAGACACGATACACGATGAATCGTGGGTCATTCTGAATTGTCGATTCCCCGGGATAGGGCTGGTGATTTTGGAGTGTCATCGCCGCCGTCTCTTCTACCTTGGTGTGCGCCTGGTAGGTCTCCAATTCATCGACTGGGTCGAAGATTGACTCGTCTTCGTCAGAATAATTGTCGGAGGCATAGGAGGACTCAATATCCGCGTTAATCACCGAGTACGACGCGTCGGAGTCAAGGTACCCGTTCGATGTTTCTGGGGCTGAATTTCGAGGCACGGTCACGTGCACCGTCGCGTCGACTGCTTCTTGCCAATTCATCAGTGACTCGGGGGAAGCAAGGACTTCTTCCCCATCGAACTCGACTGCCTGGGTTCCGTCTGGATCGTAGACGCTCACAGTCGCCGCTGGCACAGTCCAATCCGCTGTAGAGTGTCCACCACCAATTGTGTCGACCATAAACGTGTATGTGTCGACTACGTTGGCAGACGGAGTCGAATTCCCCGACTTCTTGCCCTTCCACCACGTTGGCCACTGTCCCTCCTTCCCGCCGCCTGGCCAAAAGCAGTCGGCGATCAGGTGTCCCCGCTTTCCCTCTGCGCCGCATCGGGTGTTAATACAGATAAGGTTCTTCCGTGCAGCTCGACGTGCTGCAGCTGGGGATGGGGTCGTGGTGTCTGTTGCGAGAACTTGCGCAGACGATTGTGTGTTGGCGATTGCACGGTTGCTTATGCGCTCTGAATGCATGACAATCAGGCTTATAACTTCAGCCGATGTCTGGAGCGGATACAGCTGTGGAACAATGCTGTCCCACTCCTCGCCCAAGGAGCCGATGAAGATAATGCGGAACGCTTCATCGGTGACGTTAGCTCCCTGGTCGTTTGCGCTACGCCAGAGGGTTCGCATTTTGGATATGTGCTCTTGGATGGGAGTTCCAGGTTGGAGGAAGTGCGAGACCAGTTCGCGGTTCGCCTGGATGAGCGCCATCGAGTTGATGCGCTTGTGGTTGTCAGTCAATGACTTCCACGCCTCCGCGGCCGTACCATCTGTCTTCATGCCAAGACCAATTGGGTCTTTCACATTCAAGATGAGGAGCGCCTTCGCCATTGCATCTCGATGGATCCATTCGTCCAAACTGGGTGTCGTCGAATATATGTTGGTGGGATCGGGGGGAAGGGGAACACTTGCTGGAGTAGTAGTCGCCGTCGTCGTTGACGGAATAGGGGTCGGTGTAGGGGCGCACGATACTGCCTAGGATATATCCCCGCAGTCCGCGAGCGTCAGCGACGGCAATAAACTTCGTTTCAAAGCCAATGAAACCGGTGCCATCGAACTTCTCCCCGTCTGGGAGGATCGTCAAGGGATTCGAGTTAGTACTCATTCTGAGTGTCAGGGGTCGCTGAGTTCGTCGAGCGATTCGGTGTGTCTTTGAGTCGTATGGTAGAGTTAGAGGGAGAAATCTCGGGTGCCTTGAGTACTGGGTTGGTCTATTGGTTACGCGCGGGGCCCATAACCTGTAGATAATAGTACTCAGTCGGGCACGAAAAGGACGACTGAGGTAGCTCCTGTATGTAGGTAGGTATAAGTACTCGATCACGAATGATACGGTAGTAAGGGGTGAGGGAATAACGGTGTCGATACGCGCTCACAAAGGGCGCGTCGGCTATATGGCCAGCCGAGCCTTGTTTCAACAACCGGATATGATCTCGTTGAGACAAAGCATTGAAAAGAATGAGCAGGCTCACCACTCAGTGGGCCGTCCTTCCAATTGTTTGGCCCAACACGCACCAGAACGGTACTAAATTTAGCAGGGCTCCCGCGTTTGATGCCGTGATTCGAAATGGCACCGTCCGTCGCAAGGACAGCATGAACAATATCTGCCGTGCCGGACTCTGTCTCGGCTGCACGGATGACGGGAAGCCGAAGCGTTGCCTTTTTCAAGACCCCAAAGCCTGTTGTTGGGCCAAGCAGGGCACTCCCGGGGAGCTCGCTTTTGACCAAGAACTGCTGAAGGTAGAATAGGAAGTCACGGATATGAAAACGGGACTCGATTTCCGTTGCCGAGAGATTGGGGTAGCTGGAGCGAGCAGCAACCTTGTAAGTTACATGCTCAGGCTCGTCGTCTTCTGATTCCTCGTCATCAATTCCAGGCTCTATCTCATCAGCCTGCTCCCAGTCATCCGATGATGCCCCGCTTCTGCCGTGAAAAAACGCGTAGGATTGGCCCGCTGCGCTATCGGGTGTGCCGTATCAAGGACGACGAGCGCCTGGAAGCGCTGTGGAGGCTTGTAGACACTGATCCCGGCGGCTGCACGCACACGACTCACCTCACGACCGTCGTGATGCGGAGGTGTGATACCATATCCCGCCTCGTCCAGGCCTTCCCGAACCTGGTCGACCTCGGGCTGTGGGGCCCCCCGCCACTCTCCGACGACATGCGGGCAATTTCCGCGCTGCCGAATCTGCGCCGGCTCTCGATGAACCCAAGTGAGATCATCGACGACGACGGCCTCCTCGAATTTTCGCCCCTTCCCGCGCTGACGCACCTCGAGCTGCTCGCAGACGTCGGGCCGGAGACGCTTCCCTCGATCGCCCGGGCGTTCCCGGGGCTCACGCACCTCTCCTTCTTCGACGTGTACCTGCCCGGCGTCATGCAGCGCGCGCTGGAGACGCTGCGCGGCCTGCACGTGTGCGTCCACGTGCATAGGATGATGGACTGGGACTGGACCGATAGCAGCAATCTGGTGGTATTCGAGGAGCACAAGGCGACGCTTGCCCACATTGACGAGCCGCGTTTGGTCGCTCTGTTACTGGGGGATTTCGAGGTGGACTGGGAGCGCGGTGCGTGGGGCGGGCGGGACTATTGGGTCTGCGCGGAGGAGGAAGTGGCGATGCTGCGTGCTGCTTCTCGTAAAACAGTGCAGACGGTATGGACTGTCAGGCCTCCAAGCCTCGCGCCTATTCGTGCTGACTATTTGGTGTCAGTGACCAGCGACTCGGACGTGGACTGAAGACTCGGATATCAATACCGATGATTCAGATGTTGGAGTGTTTTTTGCAAGAGCTGATTCCAGCGAGCACTGGTGTAACTCTGTAGGCAGATACACTATAAAATGGGAATACAATAAAGACCGGGTCACGGCTGCCAGTGCCTGTGCACTCTTCGCGCAGCCCCGACCTCCTCTGCACGACACCAGGAGTCCCGGCGACCCCACGCCCGAGAACGTCGAGGCTAGCAATGTCCACGTCCATATGGACATGGACATGGACATGGACATGGACCGGATCAAAATCCGATCAATGATGGAGTCCATGGACAAGTTTCGAGCGTGACGCGGACATGGGCTTGGACGCACTTTGGTGGTCGCTTTGGCGCAGCTGTGGACCACGGGATGGACGTGCTGATGGACGAGCATAGATTAGATTTACCATGAGTCATCATGCTGACGCCGATCAATCCACGTGCCTCGGAGCTGCCGTCACTGCCTTTTCGTTTACTCCCCCACCAGCAGACCAACGAAGCAACCTGTTTTGCAACGAGCAGCACCCATGGTGGGCTCTCATCATCCAAACCTCAACTCCCCCGCCTAACCACCGTCTGTTCCAAGCAGAGGACCCAAGCATGGACTGAGCCCAAGCGCAGGGCGGCCCAGTAGCATGCATAAAAGGACGCACTGCCGTCGCCCTTCCCGCGCCATCTCCACTACAAACCACCATTCTCTCGCCCTCCATGGCACCACCACCTGCCACTGTCACCGTAGATGACCCCGAGATACGACAAACGAAGAACTGCAGCAGCTGTCACTCACCGATGGGACCTCTCTGTGTTCACCAGGGCACGAACACGCCCGGGAATAGAGGGTCTATCACTCAAACAGTACATTTTACAGCCATATAACACTGTCCCCCGTTGCTCACTCTTCCACTAGTGCAAAAACCTGCAATGCAGCCATACCGTCATTCACACTCCCCGATACGTTATGGCGGATGCCGATGCACTCATCTATCGGATTCACGCCCGCGCAGGAGGTCAACTCATCCCGCCACAGTATAACCGGCCTCTTCGTCGCGCTCCAGTCATCCCAAAGCCGCCCGTGGTGAATAGGAGAATGGCCTGTAACAATCCAGAGTGCCGATCTCCAGGCTCGCAGACGTGTATCGAATTCCTCTGCAAAAAATGTTGTATTGCCGCCTCCAGTAACCCAACGACCTCCATTCGTGACCCTTGCGCCAACCACAAGACCCCAGCCATCATCGATACTCCGGCGGCGGTTCCAGCGCAATTAACTGTGCCAGCGAAACCCCCCGTTGCGGCAACGACACATGGAAAGAAGAAGAAGAAGATGGGTGGTGGTGCGACTGTCTTTGAGCCGGTCAATATGCGAGACAATCTTGCGCAACCAATCGGCGAGTTATGGCGCGGTCCAGTGGCGTCGCAGGAGATCGCTACAACACACAACGCAAAGGCCTTGAAGCTACAGCTAGAGGAAGCAGAGAAAATGAAAGTGCGAATCTCGATATACTACAAGGTATGCATTCTGTTCTCTATATCGTTCCACGCTTGCTTATTGCTCCAACAGAAGCGAACGCAGGCCCTGGCCTTCTGGCTGTCCATTCCTACATACCCACATTGTACCCTCTCGCAAATTCCAGGCCTCATCGATGATCTTGGGCTGAAGGATGGTCGCCGCGTCGAAATCTGGGACTACAATGAGTCCGCCTGGACGTCGATGTCAGTCTCTGCTGGCTTTGTGGTGGATCGCTCCCGCCGTACAATAATTCGGCTTCCAGAAACTCTGTTGGATGTTTGGTCCAACGATGACTGCCCCGCTATCGATGAGAATCGTGTTCCAGTCAATCCGCCTTTCAAGCGAGCTGCTCCATCTCCAGCAAATAGCCCAAGGTCCAAAGTGCCACGAATGGAAGCGGTCAACACCGACGCAGCCTCCGAGAGTCATGCAATGGTATTGGACGAAACAACACCCCATCTCGATACTCCGCCAACGGCAAATCCAGCTCCCGCATCCGGCCCTTCGTCGGCAGCACCTATCGACGAAGAGAGCCGCCTCTATTCGTCATATTCTGCTTGGGAGTGGAATGACAAGTGGAATCGGGTGCGGCAGTTGCGCGACTCGGGCGATCCAGCATTCAAGTACATCAACCAGGCATTTCAGCATGTCTTCGGTCGAAAACACCGGCGGCAAACACTCCGGCCCTACGAGAAGGGTTGGGATAGTGCGCCAGACCAACTCAGGCGACAGTATATCTCTCTCGGTGACGTTCCTGAAGCCTCGCTTGGCCGGCTTCTCAAGGGAATCACGGTTCCGAGCTCCATCCTCGCTCCCACAGTTCATACCCCAACTCCAATCGTGCCGAATCCTACCCCTCCACACCAACCTCCGGTGTCTCGTGCACAATCACTCGACAGCGAGCAGTTAGACCTTGCCTTCGATTCCGCGGGAAGCCTCGATCTCGAACAGCAACAGCAGACAAATGGTGGATTACTAGTCGAGTTGTTTGGGTCCTGTGGGGCCTGTGGTATCGCATTCTTCTTCAAACCATCCGACAAGCTTGACCAGATGCTTCGGGCCCTTACATCGGGTCCTGGACATCCACAGTTACCGCGAGAAATTTGTCGTCAGCACCGGGCAGAGCATGATGTTTTCCAGAACATTCTTGGCTCGAGTTTCTGGCCGCAAACCATCAACTATGCAGGATTTGTCTTGCGACTCGATTTGTCTTGCGACTCGCAAGTCAGGATACTCTTGATATCCTAGCTGATATTGCGGAAGACCCATTCGGCAGCGAGTTCTACGATCAAGCCATTGAACGACGTCGGCCTGGCCACCAGTCACCGTTTGAAGCTCTTTATGGCTAGTGGGTGCTGCTCCATCGTTATGTATTGAGGTTACTGACGTTTTGACTTCTCTTCAGCTTTGGACCTCTGGGATACTCCGTCATTCGCGATGCTGTTCGAGCAGCTGCCAACAGGTTCCGGTTGGCTCAAAGCAGCCTGAAACAACACGAGCTCATTGATGAGGCGTTGGTCCCTGAGGCGCAGATGTTGTTGATTCAGCAAGACCTTGGGGAACAGGTTGACACGCTCGACATCCTCAAGCGTAGTGGCCCGTTTGGCGACCTGTTCCATTCGGATCATTGGGACCGAACACGGGCAATTGATTCGGTGGAAGCCCAGGCCGCTTCTCCGACTCCGCAATTAATTGAGCCTCTATTCGAGCCTCTACAACGTCTCCCTGACCCGGTTTCTGCTTCTATCCCACCTCTCCCCTCCCCCCTTCTGCACGCAACACCATTTCCAACACTGCAGCTGCTTGATGGGCTTGGCGCTCTGCTCGACCGAGCAGAGGCGATGATTAAAGAGGAGCCACACGACGAATCAGAGCCTCTCTCTGGAGAGCCCTTATGCATGTTTTGCGACGAGCCGTTTCCCACTTCGCCCTCACACGTTTTGCTCCAGCGTGCCCAGGAGCTAACGATCATCTCGACCCCGGATCCTTATCCCAGCAACCCGGGCCATCGACAGCTTGCAAACATTGCAGTAAGCGCCGACTTCTGTCAACGACATCAATTCGAGCTTCTTGATCTTCCCCTTGCACGCAGTAAAGGTTGGCCTGAGGCTCCCGACTTCGGTGGCCTTCAGGAGCGACTGCTTGCTCTGCAATCCACGTTGCAGGAGATTGTCGACTGCCCTGACTTCAGTTACTTCTACAAGCTAGCCAAGGAACGGCTGGGGCAATGGAACGGCACCTCAAACCAACTCGCATCCACTCATGCTCAGATGCGGCATCCGAATCGAGCCAAGACGAGTACAGGCTAGTATGTGAACTTCTCTAATAGTCTTCATTCGCTGACTTGGACACATAGCTATGGCGAGATAGGTGCTACCATTTTTGTCCCGATCATCACCTTGCTATTCCCAAATCAGCCCCACCTCCCGCATTGCAAGCTCGGCATATCATACGACATTGTTATCCACGAGATTCTCATTCCAGAAGCGGTGTCGCGTATCATCCAGCACGATCTCCATATCAGTGATATTCAAGCAAAAGCGACGATGGAAGCGAGCTATAACTTTGGTCGCATATTGCATCCTGACTCCGAGAACAAAGCGGCGGATGCGGTTATGCGGTACGTGACAGAGCAGCGGCAGTCCACAATCTACCGCCTATGGCTTGCTTCGGGATCGACTCTCTACCTCCCTGAATGGGCTGCGCGTGCCGCAACGCTGCGTGCTCCGACAGTGATAAAGTCTGAGTCGGTGGAGATGACAGCTATACCGCGCGAAAGCTCTGACGGGAACGAGATTATAGACTTAACTCTGGACTCAGATGATGAAGAGTAGATTGTAATGACATTTATGAAAGCAGCAATAAGAACAATTTGTAAATATGCTACAATAGTGCAGCTCTAGGAATACTGTGAGGGTTGTGGCCACGCTGCCGGGAGAGCTCGACCATTGCCATATTTCGCCGCCGAATCATCTCATCTAGAAAGAAGTCGTACCTCTCTGCTGACATCTCCTGCACAATTGCCTGGAATCCGCCGAACCATGCATTGGTCTGCTCAGCGGCCGATGAGTTGAACCGCCAGCTCCCTTCCTTTGTGCGCAGTTGGGTGTATCGATATGGGTTGCAGTAACGGCCACACTCAATGTCGGACTCTTTATGCTTGCACTTGAAGTGGAAAACGTCAACTGGGAGTGCACAGTTCTTGAAGTAGTCGTCATTTTGGGAGCGGAGCATGGCAACGATTCGGCAATTGTTGTCATGCCAGAGGACTTGCGGAAGGGACTGCTGCGTTGGGAACAGGCGTTTCCAGAACTTCTGCGTAGATATATAAGTATGTCAATGGTAAGTAGCAGAAGCTGAGATTAGCGCTCCGAGTCCCAATCAGCCGAAAACTCCCCTTCCGTGCCCCCGCAATTAAATTGCACGCTTCCCAGCTTGTCTAAGTTCGCATCGTCATGCTGGAGGACGACGTACACAAGCAGCTGGAGCCCGCCCCACCCGGCGAGGGCAGCACGAATGACGTCAGGCCAATCCCAGTCGACGATGGACATGTACTAGTATGTGAGGACGGGGAACGCCTGGCAGAGTTGCCTCGATTGGCTCCGGGTCATATTCACTGAATCACTGTCGAGCGAGAGGCGGCGCAGACGGGCAAGGCCGGACAGTGCGCCGAGTCGGCGGAGATCGGCAGCGCACATATCCCTTTCTTGTACGGCTGCAAGCTCGAACACGATTCGCTCGAGCTCTAATGGTAGAATGGGCTCCGTCATCAGCGCAGAATGAAAGAGGTGTCAATTCCGTAACTTGTCGAGTCACATGGCGCATCACTGATGTGATGCAATAAGCGGCCTTTCACCCGAACGACCATGCCGATCCACCCCTGCTTTGCGCCGTCAACGCTGCGCAAACTGCCCGTCGTCCTACGCGTTTGTTACCCGCTCTTTACTAGCATTTGACCTACCCTTCATCCAGGGCAAAGCGATCGACGCGCTCCAGGGCTCGACACAGCAGCTCGTCTTCCTCGCCCAGGCCGTCGCCGAGGACAAGCTACATGCAAGCTCGAAAGTCCTGCTGGCACCCGTGTTCTACAGCGCACTTGATCCTATCGGTATTCCCGCTATGGACACCCTCGATGACACACCTGCACATGCACTGGAAACGATGTACACCCGGTCACTGGTCTCTCTGCGCGCCTTTGGGCCCATCTTGTCCGTCAAAGACGCGCTCCCGCTCACCGCCGTCCCCGACCTCTGGGCGCGCATCTGGGCCTGGCTTGAATTCCTCGACACTGCCCACCCCCACCTGCCTCTCCCGCCCGGCCTCCGCGTGGTCTACTCCTCCTCTGTGACCTTCTACTTCGCAGCCGTCGACCTGCTGTTCCAGCTTCTCAACCTGACGCGCTGGACGCCCGCCGTCCAACGGTCGATCCCTGCCACGCCCGGGTACTTCCTTTTCCTGGGCCACGCCTGGCGCGCCGTGGCAGATATCCCCGAGCAGCACGGCATCCCGGCCTTCTCCGCCGCCGCGATGGTCAGCATGCCCCGCGCGGGCCCGAACTACCTCCCCGAGCTGATCCGGGGTGCGGGCGGCCCCGCGGCGTTCGTCGCCGCGGCCGTCGCGCAGTGGATGCACACATGCGGCATCACATCGCCCGAGCGCACGCCAAACATGCCGTCCATCTACATCCCCGCCGCGATGCTCGTCGCCGGGGCGACCACCGCCATGGACCGGCACGATCCGGCGCTGAACGCCGCGCTGCTGGCATCAGAGACCGCCCTGCCGGCGCTGATCCTCGCGACAACGCGGATCACCCCTGCGGGGGATGTCTCGATCTCGAGCCTATTGCTCACGCTGCTCGTGGCCGTCTTGAAGGACACACGTGATGTGGGACGCGTGCGCAGGGCGCTCGAGCTGGGGCTGCTGCCCGCGGTCGTCTTCGCGGGGATCGTCTCGCGGCAGGGCGCGCGGAAGCGCCCGGACGAGGCGGCGGAGATCGATGGCAACGTGACCGTGTTCATTGAGGAGATACTCCCGCGCGCGACGGCATACGCCTCCGTCATCTCTGTTCTGCACCAGGAGATACACAAGGGCATGGGGCCGAGCAAGCAGCCGATGGAGAAGTTCCTACCCCTGAAAAGCCACACGACGCTGTGGCGCGCTCTTGTGGTGCTGGTGGACGAGCGGTTTGAGCTACTGCAACGGTATCGCGCAAAAGAAGTGCCCAGTCTCCGCTTGAGAGGGTGTGACAACCTTCAGGTGAGGTTCTAAGCCTATTTCCCTGCGTCTAAATTTCTACCAGTGCTGCCGCGTGGCACCCAAGGACGAATTCAAGCGCTGCGGGCGTTGCCGTACGGCGCTCTACTGCTCCCCAGCGTGCCAGGCAGCGGACTGGGCCGACAGCCACCGCACGGAGTGTGTCCTCGCATCGAACGAGCGCAACGGTAGGTGCCACCCCGGCTTCCGGCCCGTCTACCCGCTGACACAGCGCAGCATCCGGCGTCTCCCGGCGCGACCTCGCGTTCCTGCGCGCGCTGATGCGCACCGCGTACGACGCGAACCGCCGCCGGCTCGCCGCGCAGCACGTGATCGCGATAGACCCCCCGGCGCCGGACCGCGGGCCGGACGACGTCGCCGCGCCGCGCGGGCTGGGCGCCACGGCGTTCGACGTCTCGGCCGGGACGATGCACGTGGCCCTGCTGCAGACCGACAGCGCGCCGGCGGGCGGCCCGGGCGACCACTGGCAGCTCGCCCGCGTGCGCCGGGCGGCGGGACGCATGGAGGTGCACTTCCTCTTCCTCGGTGTGGCCGCGGGGCCGGCGGGGCTCGTGCCGATCCCGTTCAAGACGCCCGCGGGGAGTAAGGCCGCGGCGCTGGCACGGCTGGCGCGCGAGGCGCCGGTGCCCACTGACGATACCATGGGTCAGGAAACTGAGATGGCTGCGGCTGCGCTGGAGGCTGCGTTGGAGGCTGAGGGCAGGTGGGAGGCGTATGAAAGCGCGTTGGGGCTGGAAGCGTACTGAATGATTATCGGAGTGACCAAAGAACATATTGTCATTTAGTCACATGCAAAGCCTTGACACCAAGTATCAATTTCAACCCTCCAAAACTGGATTGGGAATCATTATATACTTGGGAGATCTCCTAGTGGGTCTCCCTCTGCCTCACTGATACAAAACAGTCAGTACAAATAGGTTGGAGACATGACATGATATTCATACCGTTTCCACTGTTTTACGAGTGGTCGCAGCACTCTTCGTCGCAACCTCTTCCTCTGCCCAGGCCCAATAGTCCTGCCCGCCCCATGCGCCGCGCTCCCAGTCGTCATCGAGGTCCACTAGCAGCAGAGCGACCAAGCGCAGGTCCTTGTCTTGAATCGGCGCGAGCGCCGCCCTGTGCTCTTCGAATATCACCGGACTCCGGCCCTTGTCCCAGTCCCAGTCGTCCACCCGATAGACGTAGACGCACACGTGCAGGCCGTGCAATGTCTTGAGTGCGCGCTGCATGACGGTGGGCAGGTACACGTCGTTGAACGACAGGTGTGTCAGCCCCGGGAACGCCCGGGCAATCCAGGGAACCGCCGTGGGCTCGACTTCTTCGAGCAGCTCGAGGTGCGTCAGCCCGGGGAGGGGCAGGAATGCCGGGTGGCCGTCGTCGTCTGCGTTCAGGAAGACATCGCTCGGGCTCATCGAGAGCCTGCGGAGGTGTGGCAGTGCCGCAATCGCCAGCATGTCGTCTGCTACCGGCGGAGCGCCACACAGGCGCAAGTCTACCAGGTTCGGACAGGCTTGGACGAGGCGGGAGATGGTATCCAACATTGACTCAGGCTCCACGACGGTCGTGAGGTGAGTCGTGTGTGCGCAGTCGTCGGGATAAGAGTTTGCAAGCCTCCACAGCGCCTCCAGGTCCTCGTCGTCCTCAATGCGGCACACCCGATAGCGTAGCGGACTCATCCTGAGTACCAGTTTTTTCAGAGGTAGAAGGGATGATGAAGCATGACACTTACCAGGTCTTGACGCGCCGAGCGACGAGCATCAACGTGCGTATCATGTCCATGTCTTCCCACGCCGCAAGCTGGAAGATAGTGCACTCGAGCTCCGGCGGCAGAACTGGCTCGGTGGTGGTGGAAGTAGGCATGCGCAAAGTGTCTATCAACCTTGAGACTATCTTTGCTCATGACGTGGACGGCCAGACGGATGCCAGTCGTGGTTGACGGCAAGAAATGGTGCTTATGTAACGTGTCAGACGTCAATGACATAAGCCACGTCACTTTGCCCATGCCCATCACCGCTACGGGGCCAGTTTTGCCACGGGAACTGGAGCGCATGGTCTTCGAGCTCGCGGCGTGGGGAAACAAGGAGACGATGTACACGCTAGTGCTTGTCGCCCGGCGTGTCCATGTCTGGTGAGTCACTGAGCCCTGTAGTGTGTTCTCCAGTCCAAACAACTCCCACCGGTACACGGGGTTTTTTTTAAAAAAGCCTTCTCATTACCAGTGTTAATGTTTTTAAAAAATGCCTCTAATTTATGCCCCTGCCAAAAGGCAGGTTTTACATAGGGAAATGAGAGATCAAAAAAAGGTTTAAAAGGTTGAAAAGCCTTGTCAGGGTGGGCAGTGTGGTAGCTATAAGGCCCCAGACCTGACGTGTGGAAAATTCCTTAAGTATGGGGAAAATACTGAGTAGGGGAAAGGCTAAAAAAGATGAAAAAAATTGTTGATGCCAAGGTGCCAAGAAAGATACGGAGTTTGACAGCGTGGATTTTATTAAAATGAGGGGAAGACTTGTAAATCACTGATGTTTTTTAAAAATGTTAATATTCTAATTACAAGGGATCTTTTTAAAAAAAACCCCGTATACGCCTGCAACTCCAGGATCGGACCGCTGCGCTATCGGGTGCGCGTCGTGAGCAGAAGCATCAACGACCTATGGCAACTCATCGACAACTATCCTGCCAGCCGGATCCACATCCGCCACCTCGCGGTCTGCGGACTTTCCCTGCACACCGGTCACGACGACGGTGACGTGGCAGCGAGCAGCCTGATCCCGCGCATCCTCCGCTCATTTCCTAACCTCGTCAACCTGCGCTTGCAGAGCATCACGCCCGCAAGTATCACCGACCTTCGCCTCCTGCACGACCTCCCGGCCCTCCGCCGGCTCACCATCAACCTCGAGGCCGTCTTCTCCGAGCGCAACCCCGGGCCGGACCCACCGCCCGCGCCGCTCGCGCACGTGACGCATCTGGAGCTCTTCACCCCGCACAGTGCGCCCCTCGCGCTGCCCCGGCTCGCGGCCGCGTTCCCTGCTCTCACGAACATCTCGTTCTTCGACGGTGGCGCACCCGATCTGGATCTGATGCGGAGCGCGCTGCGGTGCTGGCCCGCCCTGGCAGTGCTGGCGCAGGTGCTCGGGCCGACCCTGGAGCAACCCAGCGACGCGGAGGATGCGCTGCATCTGGAGCACGTGGCCCAGCTCGCCGCCGTTGATCCGCGTCTGGTGATCTTGAGATCGCGTCGGGAGTGGCCGGAGGCCGACTGGGAGCGCGGCGCGTGGGGCGGGTGGGACTATTGGAGCCGCGCCGAAAGGACCATCGCCGCTAGAGGGTTGCCACCGCGCACATCAGACTCCAACTAGTCAATGACGACAACTATGCCATTGCCATCTGCAGGCAGCCGTCGGGGGGAGCCTGAGGCTTCGACCCCACCGTTGAAAGGCGAAGTTGACACCGGCATTCGGGGTCGTGGCGTGGCATATATCCGTCTTGCAGGCCTGGAAGCCGCAATCCGGCGTTGCATACTACGCGCTGGGCGGAGATGATGACGATTGACGCGGGCCTGGTGGTCTTGTTCGCCGACGCGGAGAACGACTGGGTCGCGGGCGCGTGGGTATTGGACTCGGGGGTGGTCTAGACGGCTGGCGCTGCTAGTGGATGAGCATCGGCTGTAATTTTAAACCTTCTTACTGTCAGTTGCCAATGAGATGAGAGGCCGCACGCGAATGCTCGTCGTGAACTCCGATGAACAGCTCACAGAAGCGGGCTTCCGCCGCCCGCCCGCGAAGATTGACAGCGCCCCAATTTTACACGTTCAACTTCCGCGTGCGATGATCGATGTGTCCATGTCTGCAATGTGTCTCGCGAAAAAAACGAGTCTGATGCTTCTCAGACATTCCTCATGGACAGGCCGGCGGGGTGCTCTCGAATGCAATGCAACAATGTACACTGGCACGGACAGCTGTGCCAATATCGACGAGCATGAGCCGGACTGCGGTACCTATGAGTGGGCGAAGCTCGGGCTGCACACCGATACCGTGACACCCCCGGGCCGGGGTCCGTGTGCAATGATACATGTGGCTGGCCTCGAGGAGTTCATCGCTTCTGATGTGATACTTCTGGTGACAAGCACAGGATGCCGCGTGGGACTCGGAGGCGACGCTCCTTGCTTGCACTCGACCACCATGTCCCAGACCTACATCCTCCGGAGTAAGCCTTCATCCATGTAGTAGCCCTCAACAGTGCTGACCTGTGTGTTGAAGTCAATTCAGCACAAGACCCCGATAGTTTGGATAACAAACCAGTGAAGACTACAAAGCTCTATGCTGTTATCCGCCTTGGAGGCCCAACTGGGCAAGTTCTGAGTGAGACCAAGAAGATGAAAGGCCCCCAGACCACTCAGTGGAGTGTGAGAGAAGAAATGTGAGTTTCAGAAATATTCAATACCCTAGTACTCATGGTTGACTGACAAACCACATAGTATTGTTGAATCAAATGATGTGAAACTTAATTTTACACTTTTCCACTGGCACAAATGGGAAAAGGATGATTTGCTTGCTCAGCAGGTATATACTGTGCAGGAACTTCTAGACAAAAGTGCCACTGGAGATTGTAAGTGTTCTATGCTGCTCAGCAGATCATTGATAGTGGTAGCTGTTCCATTGGACACTTTGAATAAGAATGATGGAAGCTTTGAGGTGTGGCTCACACCACTGGAGCTGGATAATCAAGTGGAACTTCAGGTAACAACTGGAATTTTTCCCCAATATCCATTCTCAATGGAAAATTTATAGAAACAACCTTTGTGGAAGAAGATCCTTTACAAAAAGGCCCAAAGCAGTGTGAAGGGACTATCAGCAATCCTGGATGTTCTTAATCCAATAGTTCCTGCTCCATTCAATGCTCCTCTCCAAGTGTTGGATACATTATTTGGTTGGATCATTGTAAATCCTGAGATTGCATCACCCTGTTACAAATCTAATCATTTTGTAGGAATATCAGAACAATAAGGAGGATTTGGAGGCTTTGGTCATGACACTTACAGGTAATCTGGAGAAAATCAACCAACAAATCTCTGATGGGCACAAATACAACCCAACTGTTATTAGAAGCAGTCAGGGCTTAGCACAGTATGCATTTCCCATCAGTTGTTGAAGTCTGAAAATGGTTTAGGTTACTCAAAACAGAAACTATGAAGTTACAGAAACTTAAACAGTCAAAACTCCACAACTTCATACAACCTGATGACTTTGCAAAGAGTATTCAAGCTTGTACTAATGAGCTAGTCCAAGGTCTGAATGATCATATGGTGATATACATATATTTACAACCATCAATATATCAACTAATAAATTATCACTAACAGAACATAATAACTCAGTCAATTGCCCTAGATGTGACAAATATCATGAAATTTACAATGGTATTGAAAATTGTTATACTCTGGACCATTTTACCATATATTATCAGGCAGGAAAACTGCCCTTTGCACCGAAAGCATTATTTAGCGCAGATCAAGGATTGAGTACTGCACGAAGATCATGTACCACAGGAACCCGCCAAGAGCTACTGAAAATACTTGAAAACTGGATTGAGGACCCAAATGGCTCACAAATGTTTTGGCTTAGTGGTATGGCAGGCTCTGGGAAGTCGACTGTGGCCTATACAATCTGCAAAGAACTAAAAGACCAAAAACGATTAGCTGCATCATTCTTTTGCTCTAGAACTGACCCTCTGTCAAGAACCTTAGGGAACATCATTCCCACTATTGCCAGACAGCTTCTTGAACGATATGGACCATATGCCCTCAGACTGTCTAATACCAGTCTGGATACCATAGTCCCATCTTCAAGGACACATGTCAAGAAACTTCTGGCAGAGCCCTGGAAAAACTCTATGCAACACCACACTATACCACATCTCATCGTAATTGATGCTTTGGATGAGATTGAAGGAAGCCAGGGACACAATATCCTTGAACAGTTGATGGATGAAATCAACCAAGACTTCAAGGGTTTGAAATTCTTGATCACAAGCCGTCCAAATCCTCAAATTGCCAGATATGCTCAAAAACTCAAAGAAAATATTTACCATCTTGAGTGGATCCCAAAAAACCAGGCAACTGAGGATATTCAGCAGTACATTGGCACAGAGCTGCCACAACTATATGAAGATGATAGGCATTATATTGTTCAACAGGCTCAAGGACTTTTCATTTATGCAGCAACAATTGTTAGATATCTCAAACCTCCACAGTATGATCTGACACCACAACAACAACATAACCGAGTAGTGAGCTTGTCTACAAGTGGAAGGCTAGCTGGTCTAGATGATGATGAAGATGACCTTCAAATTGCTACCCTATATAAATATATTCTTTCTGAAGGAATACCATCAGAGAAACCTGAAATGGTCCAGCGTCGGCATATATTATATGCTGTAGTATCAGCACGGCAACCACATACTATCAAAACTCTTGCACCACTTGTAATAGGGAGTATGTCTGCACAGCCAGATGAACTAGCTGTTGAACAGAGCATCAAAGCTTTCCATGCTGTATTATATATATCCACAGCTGATCAGCGCATTTATTGCTATCATAAATCATTTGATGACTTTATTCTACATTGGGCAAAAGTAGAACATAAAGATGAGGCCCAGGATTACTTTATTAATCAAACACACAATGTATTCAATATTTTGGAGAAGCAGCTGAAGTTCAATATCTGTGACTTAGCATCATCCTACCAAACAGATGATGAGGATGTTAATCTGGATTCAAAAATCCAGGAACGAATAGGAGTAAAACTAAGATATGCCTGCCAAAACTGGGGTGCACATGTAAACTCTATCAGACATGATAATCCAAGGGTACAGGAAATTACTCAGTGTTTACAAAGATTTGTAGAGATTAAGATATTGTTTTGGATGGAGACTATGAGCCTGACATATGGAGACTGTCGTATAGCACTTGGCCAGGCCCTGAACTGGATATATAAGGTAAACATTAGGAAAGAAAAGCAAAGAAAAGAATATTAACCAAGATATTAGATCAAGGAAACAGGCATGATACAGGATCATTTACACAAGGCCCAATCTCTATGGACATACTATTTTCATGGCCGAGGGGGGTTATCAACCCCACACCTATATATAACTGCTTTGGCAATAGAATTAGGGAGAAGGAGAGGTCATTGTAGCTGGGGAAAATATTTTCCCCAGCTGGTTAAAGTAAACTGCAGGAATATGGTTCAGGATAAGGTCCTGGTGAATATAAAGGGTCATGGGAGTAGGGTTATGGCAGTAGCATTCTCTCCAGATGGCACAAAAGTGGTTTCTGGCTGTTATGATACGACAGTCCAGATCTGGAATGCAGCTACAGGAGTAAAAGAGCAGAGCTTTGATGGCCACTTTGATTGTGTACCATCTGTTGCATTCTCTCCAGATGGCACAAAAGTGGTATCTGGGTCTCATGATAAGACAGTTAAGATTTGGAATGCAGCTACAGGAGCAGAACAGCAGACCTTCAATGGCCACTCTAGTTGGGTAACTTCTGTAGCCTTTTCTCCAGATGGCATGAAGGTGGTTTCTGGATCTCATGACAAAACAGTCAAGATCTGGAATATAGCTACACAAGCTGTAGAGCAGGGACTCCATGGCCACTCTAAAGATATAACATCTGTTGCATTCTCTCCAGATGGCATGAAAGTGGTGTCTGGCTCCAATGATAAGACAGTCAAGATATGGAATGTAGCTACAGGAGCAGAAGTGCAGAGCCTCAATGGCCATTCTCGTGCAGTAACATCTGTTGTATTCTCTCCAGATGGCAAGAAAGTGATTTCTGGCTCCTATGACAAAACAGTCAAGATCTGGAATGTAGCTACAGGAGAAGAAGAACAGAGCCTTACTGGCCACTCTGATTGGGTATGGTCTGTAGCATCCTCTCCAGATGGCATGAAAGTGATTTCTGGCTCTGCTGACAAGTCAGTCAAGATCTGGAATATAGCTACTGGAGCAGAAGAGCAGAGCTTCAGTGGCCATTCTGATAATGAAGAGCAGAGCTTCAATAGCCACTCTGATGAGGTATGGTCTGTAGCATTCTCTCCAGATGGCACAAGAGTGGTTTCTGGCTCTCGTGACACAACAGTTAAGATCTGGAATATAGCTACAGGATCTGAAAAGCAGGGTTTTAATAGCCAGTTTCATGATGTAACATCTGCAGTATTCTCTCCAGACGGCATGAAAGTGGTTTCTGGCTCTACTTACAAGTCAGTCAAGATCTGGAATGCAGCTACCGCAGTGGAAGAACAGAGCTTTCATGGCCACTCTGATGATGTCTGGTCTGTAGCATTCTCTCCTGATGGCATGAAAGTGGTTTCTGGCTCCTATGACAAGACAGTGAAGATCTGGAATTCAGTGACAGGAGCAGAAGAGCAGAGCATTCATGGCCACTCTGAGTGGATAACATCTGTTGCATTCTCTCTAGATGGTGCAAAAGTGGTTTCTGGCTCTGCTGACATGACAGTCCAGATCTGGAATGTGGCTACAGGAGCACAAGAGCAGAGCTTTAAAGGCCATTCTGACCAGGTAAACTCTGTGGCATTCTCTCCAGATGGCACAAAAGTAGTTTCTGGGTCTAATGACAACACAGTCAAGCTATGGAATACAGCTACAGGAGCAGAGGAGAAGACCTTCAATGGCCACTCTCATCGGGTAAAATCTGTAGCATTCTCTCCAGATGGCATGAAAGTGGTTTCTGGCTCCTGTGACAAGACTGTAAAGATCTGGAATACAGTGACAGGGGCAGAAGAGCGAAGCCTTAATGGTCACTCTGAGTGGATAACATCTGTTGCATTCTCTCTCGATAGTATAAGGGTGGTTTCTGGCTCTAATGACAAGACAATTAAGGTCTGGAATGTAGCTACAGGAGTAGAAGAGCAGAGCTTTGATGGCCACTCTCATTGGGTACGATCTGTTGCATTCTCTCCAGATGGCACAAAAGTAGTTTCTGGCTCTAAAGACAAGACAATCCGAGTCTGGGATACAACACTGACCCTGCCAAAATATTCTATTAACACTGATGGTTGGCTTATCGGCCCCTATCCTGCTACAGACCATATCCTTTGGTGTTCACCTGTCCTCTGCCGTACCCTTCAAATTTACCCATGCACTCTTGTGATATCCCCTGAGGGACATGCAGATATTGATATTGATTTGGACTTCCTTGGTCCCAACTGGGTAAAATGCTACACCCCACCTATGCCGCCCATATTTACATATATTGCTATTCTTGTTCTCATGCTGCTTCTTGTCACTATCAATGAGTTTTACTAGTTCCTGTCCACATTATTGTTTGTTCATCCTGTTCTGAAACTTGTACCATACATTAAAAGTAGATACATGCACACTTACACTATTCTGATATGGCTATGTGTTAACAGTATTGGGAGTGCTGGACGCACGGTGATGCGTAGTCCCATATGTGATTGCGGTGGGCCGGAGCTCAGGTTAGGGCTGTGCCAGAGGAGCACTATAAGTAATAAGGATGGGCACCAAGCACATCATGATGTAAATGTTTGACACCTATCACTTGGCTAATCTGGCAGGTGGGCTAAGATGCAGAATGACAAAGGAGTTTTAAAGTCGTAGATACTTGGGAGGATGAGGCTAGGTATCAGGAATGTATTCAATGTAGTGTCTCTACAAATCTATGTTTACATGTAAGAAAAGGATATCGTTGTGACCAGATCTGTCATCAGTCTTGGTTAGATATGCACCAAATCATTGTTCCTAATATAGATTTATGCTCTGAAAGGAATTATACATATATGAGAACTTTCCGGGCTAAATACATGTCTAATCAGCTTGAAATTCCAGCCGAATGATTTGCCTGCCAAAAGTCCTTAATTGGCATGTGACGGGGTGACCCGACGCATATTGACAGCTGATCCGACGTGTGCACCATCTCATTTGCGTGTCTTCCACCCCATTCTGCCTCCGTGAGTTTCTTCCCTTGCCAAATTTGCATTGGAGTATTGTTCTGAGCCATCTGCTACAACATGGGTGGTGACCAAAAGCCGGGAAATGCCTTGCGAAAGAGATGGGAGGCTAACACCAGAGCTGCACAAGCCAAACAAGCAAAACGGGCAGATAAGAAGAATATACCTCCACCTCCATCAACTCCTTCCAGCCCTAGGCTGCGCATACTCACCAAAGTCTACAAGAAGAAGCTTTGGGCAGCACAATCAGCACTTGACAAGGTCAAGCATGAGCACTCCCCTCCCAAGCCCAAGGCGAAGGGCAAGGCGAAGGGCAAGGCGAAGGGCAAGGGCAAGGGCAAGGGCAAGGGCAAGGGCAAGGTCAAGCATGAGCACTCCCCTCCCAAGCCCAAGGCGAAGGGCAAGGCGAAGGGCAAGGGCAAGGGCAAGGGCAAGGGCAAGGGCAAGGGCAAGGGCAAGGGCAAGGGCAAGGGCAAGGGCAAGGGCAAGGGCAAGGGCAAGGGCAAGGGCAAGGGCAAGGGCAAGGGCAAGGGCAAGGGCAAGGGCAAGGGCAAGGGCAAGGGCAAGGGCAAGGCTAAGGCTATGCCATCCCGCGCCCTCGACGATATCATTGCCTCTGGAGACGAGTCTCCCTCTGAAGAGGAAGGAGACGGCGAAACGTGGACCATTGTCCCAGGCCCACTCTCTGCCGCTGCGGCTAAGATCGCTCAGACGGCGGTTACCCAGATGTACGCGGACTTAGCGTGGCGGCTGTGGCAAGGGCGGACGGCGTGGACAACCACTGGGCTCGCGGCACTAACCCCTGGGCTGCATTTCAGGCGTGGACAAGGGTTAAAATGCCCAAAGAAGACGGAGGTTTGTCGCTATAGTATCTCCTGTCGCTGTCTCATTCTCCTTCCAGAATCAAATTCCGAATATCATGCTCGCGTACGCGCTGCTTACTACGCAATCTTCAACAAGCTTCCCGAGGACCAACGAAACGACAAACAAGCCCGTGCAGAGGCAATGAAAGAATATGTGGAGTTCTTATTGGACTCAAATCTCAGCAGCGCCACCGAGATCAAGAAAACACGCGGCGCGATGACTATGATGAAACACGACCTCAAACCTCTAATTAGCCAGGTAATGCTTCCGTCTCCGCTGTCCCGCCATTTATTGATGCCGGTACAGAGTCAACAACTCAGCTTGCGATGGGGCTGGGAGGTCCTCGGCCTATGCGTCGACCTGGCTTCAGTCAACAATCGCGGGGTGATGTTCGGCGGAAGTCTCCTCTACGATGAAATGAAGCAGCGACATCCGCAAGAATTGGAAAAACATACGGTTGTGCTGATGGATCTCTTCCCGTTTGTCCATTTCCACTGCTCTGGATTTTATTTATTCCTTACCAGTGCTGCTCGTCGCGAAGTCAACCTCGAAGTTAGCGGAGAAAAGACACGCACCAACCCAGTGATCCTCCCAACCATGAAGCCCGGGCAGAAGGCTTGCGATTTTCGTCGAAAGCTGTTTGTCGCACTGGCTCTGAATTGCGCTCGTGTGTGTCTTGCTTAATCCCCACCTCTTCTCTAACGCTTTAATAGGTCTCGTTCTAATGGAACTTCTCGATATCACCAGCACCGAAGCCGCGGAACTCTTAAGTCAATGTCAGGGGAACCTTCCTTTCGGCCCCTCGGAGACGATTCCGATTCCGGTCCGATTCCGGTTCCGACTCCGGTCCGGCCCTCCATCTCGCGCGCGCAATCACCGATCCGTCAACGCTCTCCCAACAGTCACCTGCCCGATAACATGCACGCAACGCGCCAAGCGGCGGAAGGGCCATTCGGGCCACGTTCGGGCAGGCGGCTGAGCTCCGGAGCGGACTCGGACCGGGCCGCGGCCGGCCGGACACCCTCAAACACCAAAGGAGGGGGCGAAACACAAGCCCTTCAAACGAAGGGATGCAACATTATGGAGGATGGGACGCGTCACAAATGCGGAACATAGGGCTGGGACGCGTCAGAGACGAATGAAACCGTTTCAGAATGAGGCACGTGACCGCGGAGACGCTGTGGGCCGCGGCCATTGATTAGATAAGGCAGGGGAGCTTCAGGTATATATTCCCGCTGTATGCTACAGTAGACTTCAGAATCCAACACGCCCTTCAAGCGGTTGTTTTGCTCCCCATAGTGGAAAGTGGAACTGCTGCCTTCGAGAACGACCACGACGACAACGAGACTTTGATTTTGTGAACCAGATAAGATTTGTTTTGTTGATCTACGCTGCCCGAGAACCCCGAACGCTATTGATATTGCTGATCTTTGCAGAAATATTGTTGTTGTTGTCCATCCCATCCATTCTTCACCACCACCACACCCATTGTTGAACCTATCTGAATTGCAGCAACCATATACTTTGGTTGGAACCCCCGAACACGCGCGCTGAATACGAACTTTGATTGGATTAGATAGTAAACCTAGCCTAGGGTTAGGGTTTACATTAGGGTTAGAGAGTGTTGATTTGAGTTTGGAGTTTTGTGTGTTTTGTGTTTTGTGCTAGTGTCCATCCTCCCTATCCTTTCCACTCATTGTCCATATTTCCGCATTTCATCTGGAGCCCACCGCGAGGGGGTTCATTCAGATAAACAACTACACCATTCATATACGCTGAGCATATATTATCATCAACAACGCCTACCGCCGCCGAACTTCGAGCTCAACGAGCTCTTGATCGTGCTACACGTCGAGCTCAACTAGAAGAGAGCTTGAACCAAAACCCAACAATCCAAGTAGAAGAAGAACAAACTATCATTGTTGAACCAGAATCAGACCATTCCAGACAATCATCACCTATTCCTGAGGGAGATATCACAGAAGAGTATACCAGAGACTCTCCTGAACTAGACTATTCTTTATTATCAGAGGAAGACTACCCACTCCTACCAGGTTTCTTTGGATTTGACCCTAGTTCAAGTTCATCATCTTCATCATCATCTTCTGATTCAGAAGTAAACCACAACAACCAACAACAACAACAGCAGAACAACATGGCCAATGCTAATGTCCAAGGCTTCAGAGTTCCTAGAGCTTGGGAGACCAATGCACCCAAGTTCACTTCTGATGACAAGGAAGACCTCCTTGATTTCATGGAACATGTGGAGCAGATCTTTGACCTAGCTGGTATCAATGATGATGCTGAAAAGAAGAAGCTATTGACTGGCTATCTTGGATCAAAGAAAAGAGAAGTGTGGAGGGAGCTGCCTGAGTACCAACCTGGTACCACTTATGCTGCCTTCAGGAGGGCAGTCATGAAAGTATACCCAGAGGCAGATGAAGATAGGGCTGGGACTCTTGATGAGCTAGAGGAGCTCTGTGATGAATATAGAGGCATCAAGCATACTTCAGAGGGGAAGCTTACCAGATTTGGCATGAAGTTCAGAGCCTTGGTGCAAAAGTTGTACAAGGCCCCTGCCATTATTCTGAACAAGGAGGCATGCACCAAGTACTTGGCCACCCTGGAGAAAGGCTTTGCCCAATCCCTGAAGCTGGCTATGAACACCAGGAACCTGTTGAGGGATGATAATGCTGCACAGGCTGGTGGAATCATTGGTCCTGTAGGGCTGGACACCCTATCCAACTTGATGAACTGATCAAGTTGGCGGAGAAATTCTCAAGGACTGGTGGGACTGATAGTTCATTCAGCTCATATGCTCCTGAGGTGAAGAGGTCTGACAGGTTCCCAAGGGTCAAGCTTGAAGAAAGAGATGTCAGGCTGGATGATCTTGAAGGCCAAATGTCTGGTCTAAGAGATGCAGTAGTGGTTGGGCAGAAGCAGACCCAAGCCTCTATTGAAGAATTGGTCAAAACCTTCCAGAACCAGAGGAATGCTCCACCACCAAGGGATGACTATGAGCAGAGGCAGTCAGCTCAGAACTCCTATGGGCAACAAGAGTGCCAATATAACCGTGGGAATTATGGTGGCAACAACTGGGGTCAGAGGAACAATTATAACAACAACAACAATGGTGGCAATGGAGGATGCTATTATTGTGAAGACCCAGACCACTTTGCTAGGGATTGCCACAAGAAGCATGCCCACTTGGCCAAAGGCTGGATGGTTGTAGAGGATGGCAAGCAGAAGCTGTCTGATGGAGGTTTCATTCCAAGAGGACCATCATCCACATCCAACAGAGTAGAGGAGTACTGGCAGAAGAAGAGTGCTGTTGGACAGAACATGTTCATGGAAGGACCACCAGTGACTGATGATGACTTTGATCTGCTCAGAGATGAAGTCAGAACTATCCATGTCAAGCTTAGTCAGCTGACAGACAAGGTGGTCAGCACCCCTCAACAAGCACAACCT